CAGTACTTCGCGAAGTACGACGTCGCTTGGCCCGTGGATGGCAAACAGTGGCAGCAGGGGCTCAACGGCGAAGATCAATCTCACAGCGAGTGCGAGAAGAGAGAGGTGAAGCTGGAGCCCTATCCCTACAGCCACAGATTTGGGAGCAGCGCGTGCGACAAAGAAGGACGAGTCCGATGCCATCAGCTACTTACTTGGCATCAGGGCAATTTCGAGGCGAAGTCGAAGCTCGACGTCGCCAGCACAGACTCACAGAAGTTGTGCGGAAAGAGGGAGGCGAAGCTGGAGCCCCATTCCTACAGCTATAGTGTCGGGAGCAGCGCGTGCGACAATCTGCTTGGCATCTGGGCATTTCAGAAGCGAAGTCGCAGCCCGTCGTCGCCAGAACATATTCACAGAAATTGCCCCAACAGAGGGAGGTGAAGCTGGAGCCCAATTCCTAGAGCTACAGTCTCGGCAGCAGCGCGTACGACAAAGACGGACGAGCCCAATGTCATCACCTTCGTACCAGCAATGTGGGCATGTTGGAGGCGAAGTCGCAGCCCGACGTCGCCAGCGCAGATTCACGGAAGAGGTGTAATGATTGGGCGGCGAAGCTGGAGCCCGACTCCTACAGCTACAGCCCTGGGAGGAACACAGAAGGACGAGCCCAACGCCATCAGTTACTTACTTGCAATCTGGGCATTCTTGAGGCGAAGTCGCAGCCCGACGGCACCAATGCAGATTCTCAGAAGTTGCGCGAGCAGTGGGAGGCGAAGCTGGAGCCCGATTCCCACTACAGCTACAGCCTCAGGAGCAGCGGGTGCGAGAATGAAGGACGAGCCCAATGCCATCAACTATTACGCTGGCATCAGGGCACTTTGAAGGCGAAGTTGAAGCCCGACGTCGCCTGCACAGTTTTTCCAGAGAACGTTGAAAGCATGTGAAAGTGGGAGGCGAAGCTGGAGCCCAAGGTCTACAGCTACAGCCTTAGAAGCAGCGCGTGCGTCAAAGAAGGTCGAGCCCAATGCCATCACCTACTTCGTAGGCATCAGGGCATTTTGGAGGCGAAGTCGCAGCCCAACGGCGCTTTCACCATTATCTAAAGAACGTTGAACGCATGCGAGAGGTGGGAGGCGTAGCTTGGGCCCGTTATCCACAGCTACATCCGTAGAAACAGCGTGTGCGAGAAAGAAGGGCAGTGGCGGCCGTCGATGCCATACCCCGAGTGAGCCCTAGAGCCATGTTTAGCGCTCGAGCCGTCCCAGTAGCGGAGTCGAACGCACCTCATATCCGAGCGATGGTCCTCCTCCTCCTCCTCCTCCTCCTCCTCCTCCTCACACTCCTCCTCATCATCCTCCTCTCTTCCTCCTCCAACGCCTCCTCTCCTCCTGGTCCTCCTCGCTCCTCCTCTCCTCCTCATCCTCCTCCTGCCTTCCCCTCCTCCTCCTCCTCGCCCTCCCCCCCCTCCTCCTTCGCCTGCCGTCACCCCCATCCTCCTCTTTTCTCGTCGCCCCTACTACTCTCCCCCAGGGCTGAACCTAAACGGTGTTTTTCGTTTTCGCTTTGCGTTCGTTCTCCCCAAAGGCTGAACCTAAACGGCCCAAGAAATCACCAAAAACACCATAGGAGGATGTAGCAGAAGGGTGGAGGAGGAGGACCAATGCAAACCCAAGACGCAACATCGATGTTGCAATACACGTGCACTCCAAGCTCCCCCTGCATAGGTCTCTACACATACATATTGTCAATACTGGGAGTTGCCCATGAGAGGTCAACTGCCTGAGAATTCTCGATCGTGACAGCACACCATTCCCTGTGACTTCAAGGCCTCGGATTAGCGTGACTGTTTCGCCCAGGCAATGCCACATCGTGCCAGAAAAGCCGTTCCTGGGACTCGAGTTCCGCGAATGCACTTGACTGTTGCGGCATGCCAAAGCTCCCCGTGCATGGGACTTCAGCAGTACGACTCCTTGAACAAACTGTTGTAAGCTTTGAAGACACATCTGCGCGGCACTAAGCCGATACTCACAGTTTGAAGAGGAGCCCCCCTGCACCCCTGAAACGGCTGCAACCTAGTAACACGAGCGTGCGAGGCACAGAACCGAGAGCCACATCACATGTGAAAACCACCTGTCGTGCATCCTTGGAACTCTTGCAAGCCGTAAGTCGAACTTGCGCGGCGCAAAAGCGAGAATCAAATGTTGGAAAGGGCCCGCCCTCCATCCGTGAAAATATTGCAAGCTTCCGGCCTCAAGATCACGAGTGGTGAGGTAGGCTCAATTGAAGCGTCCAGGCCACCCTAAGGACACGTCTGGGGGTACGACAGGGAGCAAACAGCAGGAGGGAGCGGAAGGAAGTTGAGGCATAAGTAGAAACAAAAACAAGGAATCCATAAAAAGAGGAGCGGGGGAATGAACTGCAGACCCAGGTTCGTCGGAACATAGCAACATATCGAGTCACCCCCTGCTGCACCAAGACGATCTGCTGGTAGCATAGTAGGCTATCCTTGTTGGCAAAAAAACACCTGCGCTGAAAGACCTGATTCTTATTTGGTCGTCGGGCTTTCACTCAGCAGCTACTGGCCCCACCGAAGTTGCCACGAGTTGTGTGTTGCCCTGGATCGCGATGGCTTGTTCTGAAGGCCAGACGACGTTGACGACGAGAAGGAGACTAAGGGCAAGACATGGACACTATTTTAGAGGCGAGCGCCGCGTGTAACAGCGCCTCACAGCCTAGCGCCTAGCAGCATACCCGGTACGGATGTCCTGACTCCAGCGCTCTACAAATCTTAAAATTGGCGTTGAGCAGAAGCTCGGACAGACGCCAACATAATGCGGGCCCGACACGCAACGACAGCTTGTAAGAGCTGGGGAAGAAGGGGGGTGATGGAGTATTTGGATGGAGGAGTATTTGGATGGAGGCGGGAGGAAGACAAGACATGATTCATCCGAAAGATGTGTCCACAAGACGGGCACATGCGTGTACAGGATATGGGATTGATCTTGGAATTGATCTGGGAATGAGTGTCCAGGATATCCCGATGAGCTTGAGAAACCAACAGTCGATAACAGTCGCGGCTTGATTCACATGCGAAACATGCGCTTGCCACTTGCTGAACACACATGCGGAGGGCGGGCATTCTCCGCCGCGCGTGGGCAACACTCTGGAAAGACATGTCACCAAGCGTGCGTAATCTTCCAAATCTCGCGCAGGCCAATCAAGCCATGTGGTCGGCAACGGAAGTTCTGAATTGCCGACGTCTCGCTTTTGCCTGCGCCGCCTCCCGCCGACAATCCGAATGGACCTGACCGCCGCTCGATTTCCCCCCGCCTCCCGCCGACCTTCCGACGGTGAACCCGACCGCCGTTGGATCTCCGCCGCCTTCCGCCGGCCTTCCGCCGGCGGGCCCGCCGAGGAAGATGGGTCGACTGACTCGCCCCGCGAAGGCGAGGCCCACTCGGGAGCGCCCACGTGCAGCCAGCTTCGTGGCAGTCCCTCGCAGTGACCACGCTCACCGCACCTCGTTCGGGATGGATTGTGCCAAGGATTCCGGGCGCATCGGGATGTGGAGCCGAGGGCGACCCAACGGGGCGGCACCGACAGAGGGGCAGCGGCAATTTGTATCGTACATCGTTCGGGAGACGATCTGTCCCCCCTCTGGATCCAGCTTCCTGGCAATCACACGCCGAGCGAACGCTCACACACACACACACACACACAGCGACACTACGTCGTTTGCAGCGCCATCTGTGCAGGCTGCGGGCTGACTCACTGAGGCACGCCGCCGCGGGCGCGGGGCCGTCCGCCGCGGTCCGCCGCGAGGCTACGACAAGCCGTGCGACCGCCGCGCTCCCCAGCGCCCACCTCCTTCCCAACCCACCATCCCCATGCTTCCTCCTCTTCCTCTTTCCATCCCACCCTCCCTCCCTCCCTCTTCCTCCTCCTCCTCCTCCTCCTCCCTTGTCCTCCTCCCTCCTCCTTTTCCCCCTCCTCCTTCTCCTCCCATGCAAGTTTTGCCCTCGGCCCTCGAGAATCGAAGAAGGACATTCCGGAGACAATTCAAAGAATTTCCAAAGTTCCGGGCCCTCCTCGGGCCACGGGGGCCTGCCCGGTACGCGCGAGGACCCCCTGGAGACCTCATGGAGTCAGGCAGGGCCCAGGGCGGAAGCCGACCAGCCCCGCCCCCCCCCCGTCGCCTCGCCGCAGGGCACTCCTTGCGCGCGTCAAGGCGAAGTCAACACAAGACTGCTCGATCACCCTGCCCCGTCCCAGGGAGAGGGTCGGATCTCCGTTACCCTCTCCGGCCATGTGCTCAGGTGCCTCGGAGGCCCTGGGGGAAGGCAGAGTGGCGCAGGATGCCGCCGGGCCTGGCTGCCACCATCCCCTCCGGCGTTGTCGCGGCTTCTGTGCCGCCGCCCCCGCCCCCACCACTGCGACCGGCGGAGAGAACCCTGTCGCCGTGTGATGCGGAGTGGGGCTCGAGAATTGCCCTGCGTGGGATGGGATGAGCAAATCCGACGCGTCGATACGTCGATGCAACGTGTAAGAGCCGACTGGCGTTAAGAAACCCATCCCTTTAAAAATCATGGGCACGCTAACGCACTACGCATGGAACGCCATCCGTGAATTTGTGGATTACTCGCTCGCTTCTTCGGCCGTTGGCTTGCCCTTTGAACACGTATCCGACCGGCTTGCTTGGAAAATCACGCCTGTGCGAACGAGCTCAAGCAACGCCGACACGCTGCTACTACCATCCACGGATGGACTCGCACACGCCACTCCTCCCTACACCGTTGGATTCCCCCCCCCTGGGGCCGCTGTGGAGCCGTATTAGGGACGTCTTGGGCCTCTCGGAGTGACCCTTACTGGATAGATCCTTCGGCGCCTACGCGGGGCTAGAAGCCTCTTGGGGACACATGGGTTTGAAGAGCCAGTTCAGCCATCTTGGGCTGGTCTCGGGGCACCCTGCAGACGTCTTGAAGCGGACTGGGCCGTCTGGGGGGGGCGCGTCTTGAGACCAAGAAACAAGCCAGCAAAGGCACGGGGCGAGTTACATTCATCGAGGGTCTGCGACGACAGACGGCGCGCCGCTAGAAACTCACACAAAACCTTGCCACAGGACCCGCAATTGCGAAAGACGAGAGTGGAGGCGCGGGTCAGGGGCGGCGCGGGTCTCAGCGGGCGCGGGTCACAGTCGGTTTGCGCGGGACGCGCCACAAAATGGCACCCTCCGGGCGATCGATACACAACAGCCCGCCGCGCAGCCCGCCGCGGGCGCCCGCTTCTGGTTCCAGGTATGGCGATCGGGCTGCGAGGAGGGATTGTCGGCGGGTCGCAGGCGGGTCGCGTTGGGGGGGGGGCACAAGTAGCGTCCTTCCTAGCCAGCGCAACAGAGTCCGACGCAGGCGCAGATTTGCCAAATCGACGTACTTGGGTCGCCAGTGGGCAACTGGACGGGTTGGGCAGCGGGTAGCGGGCTGGATCGCAGATGGCTAGCGAGAACGGAGCGGGTGGGTGCCAGGACAATCGCGAAGTGATCGCGAATGGGGCAGGCCGCGGGGTGGGCCGCGGATGAAGAACTCGCAACGCGAAACCCCACTTCAGACTCGCACGCAGAGACGGTGTACGACCGCTCGGCCCCTCACTCTGACCAGCCAGCGAAGAGATATTCTAACCCGCCCCCTCCCACTGTGGGCACAACGGCCGATAAACACGCGTTCCCGAATCTCCCTTCCTCAGACCGCGTAAAGGCAGGCCTCTGCGCACAACTCCAAGGTCGCGCGCTCACCTGGGAACTCGATGAAGAAGCCTCCGCAATCGCAACTGGACCGGCTCCACCCGGATCCGGAAACCGTTGCGGCCAGCGGGTCGTCCACCTGGATCCCTGTCGGTGGAGATCCTGTAGGGAGTGGCGGAAGACGTTGCGCTGGCTTCTGCGGGGGACAGGGCAGGGGGCACACGTGGGAAAGCTCGGCGCTGCTGTGCAGGAACAGCTGGACGTCTTCGAAGCTGGAGTTCGTGTTCAGAGGGATGTACCAGTCTGGGGTTTTCGCGATGCCAGCCTGCATGGCCCAAATCACCTTCTCGTGACACGCGTCGCCCTCCTCGGACGTATGGCAGGCCTCCGCCGGCTGTCGGAAATCTGCAGCGCGCGCAGCCTTCCATCGGAAATCCTCCAACGCGAAATCCTGCTCCATCTCATCCATCCACCCGTCGTCTCCATGCTGCTGCGAGTCTGCGGACGAGAACTCTGTAAGCTGCAACTCTCCATGTGCGTAACAGGCGAGTCCAAGGCCCAAGGTGATAACAAAAACCATTGCAAAAACTGTGCGTCAATGCACCGCACTGTCCGAGAGAATACTGTTTGCAGAGAGTGGTGTCTAGCCGCGTATAGCTGCTGCACGTAGGCGCGCGCTTGAGACCTGTGATCCAGGTGCAGGAGGAGGACGGGGCTGGAGGAAGGCAGAGGGACTGGGGAGGCACACGGAGCGGGAGGTTAGGGCTGTATGGGAGGAAAGGCGGGAGACGCCAGGCAAGCGAGTGAGGAGCAGAGGGGGGAGGAGGGCGGCGGGCGGGAGCGGGAGGTGCAGGCCGGGGGGGGGGGGGGGAGATTGTGGAACGGGGGAGGGCGGCGGCCCAGACGAGAAACAGGAGGTCTGTTGGACCACGGGGTGGGGGCAGGCGCACACCCTTGAAGGGGCCCTGGGCCACACACATAAATACACACAAATAACAAGACTCCCCATATTTCCTATATTTTCTGGGTGTTCGTCTTCCCCCCCACTTCCCATATTTTCCCATATTTTCTAGGGAATCGACGATTACTTGTGTCAGACCCAGGGCCCAGCCTCGGGCCTGCCACGATGGGCGAGGTGGACAGGTGGCGTCTCCCGAGCAGCTGCTCGCAGGAGCAGGAGCACCGACAGCCCCTCTGTAACCTCCCGACGCAGCTCCGTCTCGCTTGGCTTGGTCTGGCATCGCAGGCTACAGAAGAGCTGAATCATTCAGGAATTTGCAGTGGCTCATATCTCATCAGCAGCTTCCGATCCAGCATCGCGGGTCTGATGTTTCGACTGGTTAGTTGGGAGAAAACTGTCTGCTTTTGCCCGATGTCGTATGGCGGCCGGCAGGCACGACGCCTGGGAAAGGCCCCACAAAGCCCCGGAGAGCTTCAACGAAGCTGTAGCATGAAAACACACAGATTCTGTGCGCGATCCCATCGCGTCAACGACAAGCGTGCGCACAATGCTCTCTCGACCTTTGGCGCAGACAACTCGTACGTTACATCTCAATCAAACGTCGCGCTGGCAGAGCACGCAGAGGTCTCGTGTGTGCTTACACTACGCTACTATATTTGAAACACCCACACTCAATCTATCAGCGGAGAGTCGGGTAGCGCTAGGGTGCTGGTCAGAAAACAAGAGATCAACCCGCCTCTCCGTATGTGCTGAAGAGGTGCGTGATTGCTTATCGTGTGCATCTGGAATGTGCCGCCGAGTGCATGCAAACCTGATTTCAAGCACGATTGTGCGCAAAGGTGCCTCAAACTTCGCTAGGGCAGACACAGCGCGTAGCACAACCATTGAGACTGGCAGCCTTTGAGAACGAACACCATGAGAGGGGCTTACGCCTGGACGCACATCATCGACATACACATGCACTCACACGCACGCAACAACTGCTGTGGTGGCATGTCTGCATAAGCATGCTTGAGGGCAGCGGCAAATTCAATGAACCAGAAGAAACAAGCGACGCGGTCCCGCATCCGCATGCACTCTTGGAACAGAGCGGTGTCCTGCGAAGCGGCCGGTACAAACTCATTAGCACTAAGTCGGGCGTGTCCCCCTGCAGGGCGATTTTGGGCGAAAAATTAAAAACTCAAACAATACCGCCCAAATGATCAAAAATAGCCAAACAATCGTCCACAGACCATTTTTGGGGGTATTTTTGAATATCCCTCCTGTATTTGGACAGGCCCAACTTAACATCAACACGTGGATGCTGGCGTGGGGACGGCGTGCGGCCACAGGCCCTCCACGGCAAGTGTGATGCTACTCAGATTTCGCGAAGTCTTCGTAACAACCACGCTCTTCGCAAGAATTGCACCCAAGACCTTCGAGGTCAACATTTTTTAACTTGTTGTATAACACATAGTTCGTATTGCACATGGTCACACGTGGGCCCCATGATTCTCGGCAACGCCCCAGGAGCATTTCTGTGTTTCCGCATCGTTTCCTGATGGTCCCGCATAGACTTCAAAAGCACCCCAGAGAGCGCACGAAAATGCTCCAGCTTGTCTTGCTCAGCGCGCCCGATGTTTTAGGCCTCGCCCCTTCAAAATCGGCCCCTGGACCACTCTAGAGGTGCGTTTTGACAACAATTTCGAATGCAAATCCAGCCGTGGCAACGCGACGCCCCCAAAGGTCCCAAAAAGGCGGAACTCGTCCAAAAAACCTCGATCCTCGAACTTGAACGCGGCTTCCTCCAACGGCTCAAGATCACTTCCGCTACCAGGGATACCATAAGGATTCGCGCCGCGCACCAGGAATGGCCAGAGGTTCCCAATTCCCACACGGCGCCCGCGTGAATCGTGACGTAACTGGCCCCCTCCCCCTCCCTCCCCCCCAGGAACGGCCGTTATTGCGAACAGATCTTCAAAAATCAGCCAACGTAGCCTCCAAGTATGCTTGAATATTGACATGAAGCGGACTGGAGTGGTCTGACGAATAACGGACTGGAGTAGACTAGACTCGACTGAGCTTCGGTGGGCTTCTACTCTACACTATTCTACCCGACTCTAATATACATTGTACCCCACTCTACTTGACTCAACTCTGTTCCACTCGCCCCTGTCCTACTGGACCCTACCCTATCCCACCCCATCCTACCCTAACTCTGCTCTACACGACACTACGTCTACTCAACTCTACTCCTACTCTGCTCTGAGCTGCGACTATCCTACCCCAGTCTAGTCGCATCTACTCTAGTATAGCCGACTCTACTCTGCCATCTGCACTACTCTACTCTACTCTACTCAGCTCTGTTCTGCTCTACTCTACTCTACTCTCATCCTGCCATACACTACCCTACTCTAACCTACCCCAACCTACTCGAGCATATTATACTATGCTCTGCTCTACTCGACTCTATTCTATTCCAACTCCACTAGACTATCCTACAATATGTTCTACTCGACTCTGTCCGACCTGACTCTGCTCTACCGTGTACACTATTCGATGATACCCAGCTCGGTTCTACTCTACCATGATGTTATATGTCATGCCCTGCCCGACCTAGACTACTCACATGTATGAGTGTATAAATGTATATATATATATATATATATAGTCGTACTAGGGTCTACTCTGTTCCTTATCTACCCTGTTCCCATATCATGCCATCACGCGTACTCTGCCCTACTCTACTGCACTCTACTCTACTTCACTCTCTTGTTCACAAGTATACCCCGAGAGAACTCACACAGACATACACAAATACATATGCAAACCGAACCAACTCTACTCCTGTTCTGCTCTACTCTACCCGACTCCACTTTAGCCTACCGTACTCTAACGCTGTTCTACTCCACTCGCCTGTTCTCTGCTCTGCTCTACTCGACTCTGCAGAGGAAGCCATTCGGAAATCAGGGCATCACATGCGCATAGAGAGAAGAACAAGAACAATGCGCATAGCAGAGGACGCCATGGGCATACAGAGGAAGCCATGTAGCAGAGCAAGCCAGACGCATACATAGAGGAAGCTTTGCGCATACGTTGACCTTGCCAGGGCAAAGCTGAGGGGGGGTTTAGTGAACCAGTTTTCTAGGGATTGAGCTTGGACTCCCATGGTCAAACCTGTTTGGAGAACAGATCTTCTATCTTCGGACATCGAGCAGATGGATGCGGGCGACGACGGGAGAAGAGGCGACCAGCAGTGCTCCAGAGCTGAGCGCGCGGGCGTGCGCACGGCATCCAGATCTCAGGGCACGCTGTACTGCGGAAGCTCCCCCCCCTCCTCCAGAACCCGGCCTGCCCCTCTCCCCGCCCTCTGGAAAATCCGCCGTCTCGGCGTGTGAGATTATCCCCCCCGCTCATCCCCCACCCCTTGGACCCCAAACCAAAACTTTGACTTCAACCCCCCCGCACTCCCCCCTGCACACCCTCCCCCCCGGCCCGGCACGGAAGCGGCATGGGGAGATTGAGGGTTCCCCGACGACCCGAGGGGGCCCCACGACGCATGCAAGACGGTCCAAGAAGGTCCCGAGTCGCTGACAGATCGTTCCACGACGCACAAGATGGCCTTCGCACGCCGCCCCGAGACGCCCCAAAAAGCCTCCAAGAGGGCTTCCAAGATGGCTGCAAGAGGCAAACATTGTCCCATTCCCTGGGGGGCACTTGCACTTTTAGCATCTTCGACTTGTCACCCTTCACGGTGTTAAGAACGCCCCAAGACGGCCCTCAATAGAGCCCCAGAAAGGCCCAAGAAGGCGCCCGGGATGGGCATAGAAAGGGATGGAGGGGTCTTTCCTCCTCCTCCTTCTGCAAGTGCATTGCAGGCGGGCTGGGGCCAGCTGAGCAGAGCTGCCGCCACTGGGAAGACCTCTACAGGAGGGTCCAACCAACAAGCGCCAAATCGGGCGTTTCTAAAATTGCAATCAATGCCCAGCTCGGCGAATAGTGTTAAGTCGGGCGTGTCCCCCTGCAGGGGGATTTTGGGCGGGAAACACATACTCAAAACATACCCCCCGACATTCATAAGTAATCAACAAATACTTCCCCTGACTATTTTTTACTACTTTTGAATATTCCTCCTGTAGAGGGACATGCCCGACTTAAAGAATAGTGTGCCGCGTCAGGCAGGCGGACCCAGCGCCTCGATCATCCGACCCGCCGCACGGCGCATGATCTCGATGTCCGCCCTGGCGGCTGCGATGAACACGTAGGGCTTGTTCTTCTTGGGGTCACCGGACCCGCCTGCGAACACGGACGAGTACAGGGCACCGTCGGCGCTCCCGTATGCCTTGATGAACTCCTCGAGCGCTTCCGAGAACGCATCAGGGTCCTCCGCGTCGACAGCGAGCAGCGCGCAGGTCTTGTCCAGCTTGGCATTCGGGCCCTTGCCACCAGTGCCCAGCACACTGCGAACCTCGTCGCTCCCGCCCCTCTTCACGACGCCGTCGAAATCTGCCAGCAGCTGGTTCGGGTCGGACGAGAGGGCGGAGATAGCATTTGGGGAGGTTTATAAACAGCTTGCGTAGCTGGTGCCCCAGGTGCCTTCTGGCGCCAGTGCACCCAGAGAGAAACGCCCGGCGCCGGGGCTGGAACCAGCTGTGCGCAGCAGATATCGTACCCCGCCCATTTTATCGCCCGCCCGTTCGTCCCACACAACTCGTCCAAGGCCGCCTTACCCGCCACCAGCTGTGCC